TTTTAACAATGCTGAACCTCGGGCCTATTTTAACAATGCTGAACCTCAGGCCTATTTTAACAATGCAGTACATCAGGCCTATTTTAACAATGCTGAACCTCGGGCCTATTTTAACAATGCAGTACATCGGGCCTATTTTAACAATGGTAAACTTCGGGCCTATTTTAACAATACTGAACATCGGGCCTATTAACGTTGAATCTTTAGTCACCAAGTTACCAACCGAGAAGCAGTTTAACTACAAGAAAACAAAAACAACAAAACATTGTTTTCAAACACCTAGTGTTATTTAATCTTAAAAAAACCTGGCGTGGGTTTAGGCCCGGCATGGTCTGATGGTTAGAGCGGATCGTGGGACCGTTTTATCGAACATGCTCGTCCTTTGAGTCGAGGGGGCGTTATAATGTGACGTCATTTTCACTGTTCGTAGGTAAAAGAGTAGCCCAAGAGTTAGCGGTAAATGGTGTTGACTAGTTGCCTTCCCACTAGTCTATCACTTCAAAATTAAGAACGGCTAGCGCAGATAGCTCTCGAGTAGCTTTGCGCGAAATTCAACAAAGAAATTTAATGTAAATCACAGATATAAAGTTATTTTTTGCGTATATTTTGGGCTGTGTGGAAATGTCACTTGACGAAAATTTCTTTATTGGTTTTATACATTTTTTGTTATTGTTGTCACAACTTATTTGGATATTCTATCTAGTTATTCTATTTTTATGTTAGATTTTTTGTCCAGCAATGGTATTACTTATAGCCTTAGACAAATTAAAGTCTAGGTGACATGTTTTTTTTTTAAATGCAAGGAAAAGCATCACCTGTAGTCCAAAGACTCTATTTTTGTTTCTGTAGCTGGTTGAACTTTTTTTTACAGCATGTTAACGTAGTATTTTTGAATTATCCATACAAATCATAACCAAATATGGAAATATCTGGTGCCAAAATGCTGCTGTGCAGTTTTATTTATTTATTATATTGACGACGAATTTTGTAATATTGTTTTTATCCAGCAGGTGGCTTCACGCGAAGATAACGTGCAGGAGGGATGGAGCCATCCAAACAGTGTTCCCCGGCAACGGAGAGCGTCCCTATTTCGGGAAATGGATCACAAGACTCCGGGGTTCTCTCATGGCCGACTGATGCGAGCGGCCTCTATAGCTCAAGATGTGGCAATAAGTTCTTCTTTAAAAGATCACTATAGGCTGGTTGTCATGGGGTCCTCACGAGTGGGTAAGACGGCCATTATTAAGCGTTTCCTGTACCAATCATTTACCGCTGAATATAAACCTACTGTAGAAGAGCTGCTGACTACAGAATATGACGTAAGAGGTGCCATCCTCAAACTGGATATTCTTGACACAAGTGGAAGCTACGAATTTCCTGCAATGCGACACCTGGCGATCAGCTCCGGAGATGCCTTTGTGCTCGTGTATTCCATTGACGATGCCGACTCCTTTGAAGAGGTGCGTCGCCTCCGAGATTCGGTGTTGGAGATTCGGTCATCGGGCGTCCCTATTGTAGTAGCCGGCAATAAAAGTGACCTAGAGGAGAAGAGGTCAGTACGGAAGGAATTAGCTGAAACCTTAGTATGTATAGACTGGGAACACGGTTTCGTCGAAAGCTCGGCGAAGGACAACATCAACATCTCCACCATCTTCAAAGAGTTGTTTCTGCAAGGTCATCTGGACTGCCCCAAACCTAGCTTTCCACCCTCGAGGGGGCGCAGGAGTTCACTTCCGGTCAACGCCATTCCTGTGTATTTTAAAGGAAAACATTCTCCAAAACGGAGCAGTTGTGCTCTATCTTGAACTATCTGGAAATCAGTGCTGACTCAACTCCTGTTTAATTCAGTTTGTGTTTTGTTTTATGTATAGGTAGAGACTTCTTCGTGCTGTAAAAACGTTGGTTCTTCTTCTTGTTTTCTTAGTGCAAACACAATGGGATATCTACAACATGTCCACCACGGGGAATTGAACCCTAGATTTTTATCCACAGAGGTATAAAAATATTGGAAAGGTTAATTAGTTAACACATAAATATAATTCAGTATTTTTATCATTGTATTCAAATATTTTGTACGTTGTTGGGGAATTGTTGGAATAAAAACGATGGGTGAAGAATGAATACATGCTTTGCAGGTGTCCTTTTTGGGTCACGAGTAAAGTTCAGTGTCACAGTTTAAACAAGTGAAGTCGGTGAGTGTCGTGCCTTGAGTTTAGATACACACGTGACTTCACGAAGTTGGTGTTTCGATGGCACGAGTTAGGAGAATCACGTGACTTCTTTACGTCAGAGCTTGACGTGCTGTGAGTTTAGATAAACACGTGACTTTACGAAGTTGGTGTTTCGATGGCACGAGTTAGGAGAATCACGTGACTTCTTTACGTCAGAGCTTGACGTGCTGTGAGTTTAGATACACACGTGACTTCACGAAGTTGGTGTTTCGATGGCACGAGTTAGGAGAATCACGTGTCTTCTTTACATCAGAGTTTGACGTGGAGCGACACAAAGAAAAGTTTAGCTTTATCCATCAATTTATTTAAAAACTTAAATGTATTTAAGTGTTTTATATGTGATTAGGTACGCTGTATATTTCCATGAGTCTGGTTCAATAAAGTTATTTTATCGTGTCATGAAATGTAAGTATATTAACACATTCTGACTTTTATACCGTTTATTTATTAAAAGCGGTTTTGTAAAACAAAAATAATGTTTAATTACTTTATCATTATCTTTACAGGCTTGAAGTTCTAACTTAATGTCTACCTTTCCCTGTGTTTTAACATTTGACTTTAGTTTACTTTAAAATTTGTCTCATAAAACACTTAGGTGGTCGATATAATGTCGTCTTTGAGACGACAGCAACCGTAAAAATCCTTCAAGAATTGAGACAGGTTACGATTGATCGTTTCTTGTGTTACAAGAAACAAGGGGGCGTTTTCTATCTTCCAACAAAAACATTGTGTGTGTTTATGTGCATAAAGAAACGTTTACACACAACCGAACGTAAGTCACATGAATTGGTTGGATTCTTAGATATTCCAATTGGCCGTTTAAAGTTTAGTATCCATGTTCTTATTGGTCAATACGAAACGTTGTTAAGATTTTGAGTTGGGTCTTTCGAATTCGTTAGCTTATTTGATTAGAACACCTACTATTTAAGTACAGAGACTGGTTCGAATTTCACACGGTACAATGAATGATACACTGCTAGTATTGTATCTTGCCAAAATTAATTAAAACTGTGAAAGCGACCAACCACGGTCCGTGATTACTCTGCCGATTAAATGTTTTCTTTACGATCTTAGTTGTAGTTATTTACAGTTCCGTTCACCGCCACCTAGTGTAGGTAAGATGAGTTAAAGAACATAATAACATGGCTACTTTCTGAAATGGGATATCCGCACAAAGCTACTCGAAGGCTGTTGACTAGCTGCCTTCCATCTGGTGAATTAGATAGACTTCGAGTAGCTTTGTGTGACAGTCAAATTTGGTGGTGGGTTCTATCTAATTCACCAGATGGAAGGCAGCTAGTCAACAGTACCCACCACCAAATTTGACTGTCATCCTTATAACGGATCATAATTTTGTCACAGCGAGACGTGAATCATATAGGCCACGCCCGGCACCGCTACCTAGTGAAATACCTCTCTTAGAAAATTACGATAATACTTATAAAAAATCTGTTTGCCTTTCATTTTTTGGTAACTTAGTTTGTTTAGTTGTTAAGCACAAAGCTATACTACGTACTATTTGTGATCTGCTTCAACGGGTATCGAAAGCCAATATTTAACGTCGTGAGTTTGCAGGCTGAGCCACTAGGGGGAAGTGACAGTTTGGAAAATGGTATTGATTGTTGTTTTAATACAATAATATATACTGAACTTGCTAAAACCAAGGAATTACACGTATAACTAATGGTTTTTAGGTTGCACAAAAACGAAGCTATCCTAAAGGAATGCCATGACGAGTTAATGTTATCCTTACCAACTATATTTTGAAGTGCTGACATCTAGTTTGTGAAAACTTTCAGTATTGATAAACGTATATTTAAACTTGGCTCCAACCGAACTTTCATTGGCTAATGTGAACGTAAACAGTTTTATATAACCAATAAGGATGCACGTGACAAAAACGATCCTAAATATACAGATATAAAGTATTTGAAAACCTTTCTTATATTTTTCTTTTTTTTATGCGACATATTTACCAAAGTTTACAGAAATACGGGTTTAAATACGATAATAAAAAGCCATTTATTTTATCATGATAGTTAGCATTCCTCCAAATACTTTAACATTTACAGCATCATCAAGGAAGAAACCGATACTTTTAGTTCAATTAAAGGACATCTCAACATCGTTGGGGGAATATTACACTCATAAAGCTCGATCGATCTGAGGAAGGACAAATAACGAACGTCCAGGTAAGGACCGTCTCTTTATTGTACAGTAAGAATTCCGCTCGAATAGGCTCTTGTGTCAGAAAATGATTAGTCTCTTCTAATGTAATGAGTTTTTCACTTTAAAAAAAGTAATCAACAAGCAACACGAAAAACATCACGTAACTAAACCACAGAAAGAATGATTCAATTGATATAATTAGTGTTATTTTCGTTCATCATCAGAGATCATATTTCTGATCTTACATCGTGTTCTGTTACGTAACAATAGAAACAAATACAAACTACGAATATAAGTGTAGAGAACTATGAAATCAAACGTAACCTCAAAAATCATCTGATATTACCAGCACTATACGTAATGTATGTATTACTGTTCTTTGGTCAACTAATGTTGGATGAATCGTTCTACGTGGTCAGTTGGTTCCTGGGATAATGTTGGATGATTCGTTCTACATGGTCAGTTGGTTCCTGGAATAATGTTGAATGATTCGTTCTACATGGTCAGTTGGTTCCTTGGATAATGTAGAACGATTCATCCAACATTATCCAGGAACCAACTGACCATGTAGAACGATTCATCCAACATTATCCCAGGAACCAACTGACCATGTAGAACGATTCATCCAACGTGGTCAGTTGGTTCCTGGGATAATGTTGGATGAATCGTTTTACATGGTCAGTTGGTTCCGGGAATAATGTTGGATGATTCGTTCTACGTGGTCAGTTGGTTCCTGGGATAATGTTGGATGATTCGTTCTACATGGTCAGTTGGTTCCTGGAATAATGTTGAATGATTCGTTTTACATGGTCAGTTGGTTCCTGGGATAATGTTGGACGATTCGTTCTACATGGTCAGTTGGTTCCTTGGATAATGTTGGACGATTCGTTCTACATGGTCAGTTGGTTCCTAGGATAATGTTCAACATGGTCAGTTGGTTCCTGGGATAATGTTGGATGATTCGTTCTACATGGTCAGTTGGTTCCTGGGATAATGTTGGATGATTCGCTCTACATGGTCAGTTGGTTCCTGGGATAATGTTGGACGATTAATCCTACATTATTAATCCTAACAAAGTTCGGGGTTCAATCTCTGTGATAGCACAGAACAGATAGCCCATTGTGCAATTTTCCGCTTAACAAACAAAAATTAAAACTACAAAACATGTTTCTTTTAGCGTTGACTCCTGGTAGCTCAGCAATAAGCTTAAGGTCTTATAGTATTAAAATCTGGGGTTCAATTCCTAATGGTGGACACAGAGTAGATAAACAATTGTGTAGCTCTTCGCTTTAAACAATAAATAACGTTGTGCTAATGATCTAAGAGTCGAGACCTTTGTGTGCTGCCATCTAGAGTAAACTATGGTAACCAATATAAAATGTGTAAAATGTTGGTTCTGAAAACATAAACATTACAAATTATGTATGTGTTTTCTATCAACTAAGGTTCTCAACAATTCTTATAACTTGGTTACTGTAGAAAACAAGCATAGTTTTAAAATATTTCACTCATTTGAAGAATCTTTTTCTGAAAACTTCTCAAGACAATGTAAACATGTGCCTTACTTGTTAACGTGACCTGTCAAGACAATGTGAACATGTGCCTTACTTCTTAATGTGACCTCTCAAGACAATGTAAACATGTGCCTTACTTCTTAATGTGACCTCTCAAGACAATGTAAACATGTGTCTTACTTGTTAACGTGACCTTTCAAGACAATGTAAACATGTGCCTTACTTGTTAACGTGACCTCTCAAGACAATGTGAACATGTGCCCTACTTGTTAACGTGACCTCTCAAGACAATGTGAACATGCGCCTTACTTCTTAACGTGACCTCTCAAGACAATGTAAACATGTGTCTTACTTGTTAACGTGACCTCTCAAGACAATGTGAACATGTGCCTTACTTCTTAATGTGACCTCTCAAGACAATGTAAACATGTGCCTTACTTGTTAACGTGACCTCTCAAGACAATGTAAACATGTGTCTTACTTGTTAACGTGACCTCTCAAGACAGTGTGAACATGTGTCTTACTTGTTAACGTGACCTCT